GTAAACACTGGCTTTACAAAAACAACTTGAACCTCAACAAAATCAACTTGGATGTTCTTAAAGATGGAATAAAAAAATATCTTAAATCCAACATATACTGAATGTTATTCAATATACATTTCTTAAATGCTCCAACACACAGGTGTGTCTTCTTTAAGCCTTAAAGAAGACTATGGTTGCTGTGAAGGAAAGTGAGCATGTCGACATGTTGTGAACTGAGGCTTGCCCTGCGCTTCGATGCGATGTTCCCTGCTGCGGAAAAAAGCCGTTCTGATGGTGTTGATGTTGCTGGTATACACAGAAAGAACTTTGCAAGTTTTGACAGTGTTGGGTACCGTGCTGCATTTGATTTCCACCATAGAAGTGGGTTCTCCCTCTTGGACAGTGTATGCTCTCCAAAGTACATCATGACTTCCTTTTGAACATCTTGGTTCAAATGCTGTTCCTCATCCTCCTCATAACTTGTGCTGGATTCTGAAGAACCCAGTAGATTGCTGAAAAATGTGTAGGTGTTCTGCTGATGCTCTACAGGCTTGTCTTGGGCATCAGTGGAGACCTCATTTTCACCTGAATTTTTCTGTCTCATTTTCTTTTTGACATCAAGGACCATTGTTTGAACCATGCTTTGGATCTTAAAGGCTTCATCTGGGGGCAAGAACTTAAGTTTCTTAAATCTGGGATCTAAAGCAACAGTAAGTAAAACAGTATTTGAGGATTGAGGCTGACACATAAATAGTCCTTCCCATCTTGTTGTGATCTGTGCCATCACTTCAGCTTGGTATGACTGAGCTGGTGCTGTCTCAAAAACTTGGGTCTGTATGGACTTCTTGAGGCTTTGCACAAGTTGTGGAAGTGCAGAAAGAGTAACGTAGTCTTGCCCACTCAGAAACACTGTTGCTTCTTCAAATGGCTGAAGAGCCTTGCTTATCTCCTCTATAATATTCCACTGCTCTGGCTTAAGATCAAGGTAGTGTTTTCCTCGTGGTGTCAATGCTGGGTCAGATAGTGCAGCAGTTATCGGCCATCTTTGCTCCAGCAGCCTACACAACATGTGGAAAGTACTGTTCCAACGAGTGCTTACATCTTGTATGAGCATGTGTGATGCTGTGCCCATTTGCTGTTGCTTATCCTTCAGCTTTGTGCAAGCCAGTTCACTTTTTTTAAAATGTTCAACAAGACATCTTGCAGCTGCCACACACTTTGAGATGCTCTGGTTGCTCTTCAGAGCATTCTGTACCACCAAGTTCAGGGTGTGCCCTGCACATCGCACAGATGCCCACTTATGCTTTTCTGCCAAAATCTTCACTGCTGCTACAATATTGGCACCATTGTCATGGATGACAGCTTTGACTTTCTCAGGTGGAACATCAAACTTTGCAATAACCTCCTCAAGCCACTCTGCAATGTTTGCTGCTGTGTCTTTCTTCAAGTGGCATTGTTGTCAGGGTGTGGGACTTCATTTTCCAGTCCTCTCCAAGAAAGTGGCATGTCACTCCAAGATATGCCTCTGTGGCAACACTTGTCCAAATGTCTGCTGTGAGAGCAATGCTGTCTGTCTCTTTTAGGATGTTTTTCAATTTGTCTTTGATTTCTTCATACTTTTTCTCCATCATTTTTACAAAGTAGGTTCTGGAAGGAGGGGTATAATTTGGATTGAAGGTGGAGATCATCTTCAGGAATCCTTCATCTTCCACCACGGACAGCGGTCGCATGTCTGTGATGATCATATTTAAAATGCTGTTTGTGAACTCAGCTGCTTGAACAACCGAACATCCTGGAACCCTTTGAACAAAGCTGTCCAACGTATGACTCTTCGGTTCACTGAAAAGAAGCACAATGTAATGATTATTTGTTTATTCCTTGTTATGAATTAAATATATTTCAAGTGCACTAATTTGGATATTATAACATTTAATATTATTAAGTTGGAATCTGCACTGACAGCTCATCTGCCATGATAACAGCTTTAGTTTCAGTTTTATTTTATTTATGGATTTAAGGCTTTCATTTATGTGTGAGTTTTGAGGATGCTTTAATTAAAAGCATTATTTTTAACCATCACAGAAAAATCTAAATGCAGTGAAATGTTTTTTTATGTATTGGAAAACAGAATGTAATCTATATGTTAGGAAAAAAATAAACTTACTCAAAATGTAAAGGTTTGAGTTTGTACAGAGTTCTGCAGCCTTAACTAGTCATGATAAAATGCAAAAATGTTGCTATTTTTATTAAAACGATGCTATTATTTATTCTTGATTGCTTAGGTATAAACAAATATAGAATTACTACAAAAAATATTAATAAAAAATTTCTAATTCATACATAACAGTAGCGAGAAGAAAAGACTAACTTTTCAGGATGGAAAGACACCAATAAATAAATGCTTTTCAGCTTATGCCTGTAATCTGTTGCTGCGTATTTTTATTAACAAACTTACATTAAGTCCTGCATAATTTCTCTCAGTTCCACCCTCACATACAATTTACACTACACCCGGTTAAGTAACCGCTATGTTTAGATGTAACGTTAGCAAAATAATGTGCCTCAATTTACATCTATAACATGGCAGATTATCACACAACGTAGTTAGCAAAGAGAACATAAACGTTAACTGTTGGCAACCGTGTACGAGTTGGATGCATCTAGCGGGTGTTTTCTCTTTAGATGCTGCAACATTGATGTCGTGCTGTTGTGGTACGCCAATTCTGCTTTGCAGTGGATGCATTGCGCTGTGTTGTCCTTTCTGTTTAGCCTAAAATGTTCCCAAACTTTTGACATTTTTTGTCACTTTCGGGGTTCTCCTTCTGAGCATTCTCCGCCGGTTCCCTCCATAGCTACAAACTTAGCACAAGCGCTCCAGGCGCTAACGGAAGTGGTAGCGTTGTGCAACACAAAAACCCTCCGGCTAGACCAGTGTGCTGCGTATTTAACAGCATTGCTTATTACAATACAATAAATTTAGCGAAGCTTCGAGGCAGATAAATTTCCTCGAGGATTTTTTGTAATCGAGTTACTCGATGAATCGTTTCAGCCCTACAGTGAACCAGTGGGCTGGTCTGTATGTCCATTTCGCGGCGTGACAAAAGTACAGGCCAGAACCAAATAAGGCAACATCCCTGAATTGACGTCAATTCAGGGCTTCGTTTGGATTCACTCGTTTTATGGTGGAAGTTTAGAATTGTGAGATTTGCAGAGAAAGGAGGTGCTGATGGGGTTTGAACTTCTCTGTACTTCCATTTTACCCACTGAACTATCGTTATTTATCTATGACAATGGAAACTTGGGTTTGCATTCTATGACCCCTTTAAAGTTATTTATCTGAGGAAATGGAAGAAGCACATTCCTGGATTTCACACTTGATTTTTGTTTAAATATTAATAAATATGTAAAAATGGATGAAAGCATCACTGTCCCTGTTTCCTTTTTTAATTTTGTTAAAATGTATTTATTTTATCTATCAGCTGGTAATGTCCCCAGAATAGATTGCAGAAATTTGGTCACCTTACTGTGGGTAAAAAAAATCACTGGGAAATAAATTGATGGTAAATAAATAAAAAAAATTACAGTCGAAATCCCTCTTGCGTTTGTCAGCCAATGCTAGCAATGAAGCGCTCTGAAACTTAGGCTATGTTCACACTGGAGTCTGAAGTGACCCAAATCCGATTTTTCTGCCCATATGCGACCTGGATCTAATATTTTCATGGCTGTCTGAACAACACAGATCTGATTTTTTCCAATCCGACCTTGGCCACTTGACTCTGTGGTCCTGAATCCGATACAAATCTGATCTTTTCAAATGTGACCTGTGTCTGAACAGCCAGATCAGATTCATCCGGCCTGAACGTCATTGATACCCAAAGAAAGGTCACTATTATGCGTCTTGCTACACAGAAGCTGCAAGAAAAACAACAACCGTGGCAGACGATGATGCGGAGAGTAGTATTTATGTTTACACATATTGAAAAGATTGTGTTTTTATGCTTGGAAAAGACCGCCAGATGCGCACCTGCACTACCATCCATCTTTACTTCCGGAAAAAAAAGAGCGCGTTGGCCTGTGACGTCGTTGCCTCCACTACTGCGCATGCGGGACACTTGCATTGTATGACTTCAGTTCACACAGGAGATCACATACAAGTCACATATATTTGGAAATATGAACGGCAACGCAAAAAAAATCGGATTTCACAAAAAAATCAGAGTTGAGCATCAAGGCCTGCAGTGTGAACGTAGCCTAACAGTATTAGCCAATCAGAAGAAGAAGGGGGTGGGTCTTAGGAAAGCATGTACCTCCTCTCCTTTGTTGCTCAAGTCGCCAGATAGATTGTGGTACAGCGCTAAAGCTCTACACGGAAAGTCACCAGGCGCAGTTATGGCTCCATTCAACAGAAACGTTTAAAAATTCAAAAGATAAATAAATGAAACCTTGTGTTTGAAGAGAAGGACGATAGAGAGAACAGATTTGCATGGAGTGGTCACAGTGCACTCCATGGAAGATGTCACAACCATAGATAAAGGTCAAAAACATAAATGGCTGGAGGAGACAGGGCGAGATGGCGAGCCATTTAGCGCCTGGTGCAGGAAGGTAGGTGAACCAGGCGATTGCTTCTGCATGCTGTCCTCCAGAAACTCATAGCAGCAAAACTGGATATCAAAAGAAACATGGTACATGCAAGTATTAAATATAGATGCACTTTTGCCATCTTCTGGACGTTTTTTTGTATTGGATTTTCAAAAGTCAAATTTAGTCTTCAATCATTCAAGTGATTTCTTATCCCATGCCACATTACTCACTCATTTGCCAGATAGTAACTGTGGTGTTGGATGTAAATGCTTTACTTGCTTTAAACAAATTTAGGCCAAAATAAACTTTATATCTTCAGGTTGCTTGACAGGATCCACATGTTCGTCAAACTAAATGACAGAGTTTGGTTCTTTTATGTGAGGTGTCCTTTATTTAACCACCAACAGAAAGTCTTTCTCCTGTGTTTCTCTTTCCAGACCACTTGCAGGATTATGGTGGAAAAGAGGAGGATTTCTCTGACCAGCAGCTCTGTGGACAGGATAGGAATTCCAGTTTGGACCAAGAAGAACCAAAACCTCTGCAGATAAAAGAAGAGCAGCAAGAACCAGAACATCCCTGGACAAAAGAGGAAACCATGGAGCTCCCTATTAGTGAGCAGAAAGATCAGCTTGTTCTGAAGCAGGAGGCTGAAGGTACAGGAGACGAAGCCTTCCCAGGTAAGAAGATTTATGAATGTCTGTCCTGTGGAAAAATGTTCACAAAGAAATCTAGACTTGATAGGAGCATCACAATTCAAAGCCATCTACAAACCTCTTAAAAGCATTCCTGCGTTATCATTTGTAAGCATCATTTTCTCTTTCATTTTGATTTAAAAAAAAATGTCCCCATGGCCTCCTTCACTCAAACGGTGGTCAGTTCATGACACTTGATCATCAGTGTTCAAGAGTTTAGAGCGCAACAGGTGAGACACATCTCAGCTGGTATTCTCTTCTTTTCGTAACACCAGTTCAGCAAAAGGCTAAAGGGCTTTTCCACCTCTTTCTCTAAATCTTCTCTGCTCTTCTTAAAAAACAATAGCATTCAGACACTTCATAACTTGTTTATTATTCCAAGATAAAAGATTTTTTAAACTCCATTTTGGTTTTGTGAAAGCCCTTTAAGCCTTGTGAAACATCAATACAGAGCCGTGGTAGGGCTTTTTTTTTTTTTGCATCCGGCCCACATATTTAACCTGACATAAGCCAAATTAACACGTAGTTCAATTCAGTTCCTACAGTGTATCAATCTGGGTATCGTTCTGTAGAACATGTTAGCAAAAGGAAGGGACATTCAGTACAATTCTTTGAGCTGATTGGGTACCCACCTCCCATGTCGAGCTTTCAGCCAATCACAGCCGCAGTAGCAGCTGAGAAATATCAGATTTTTGATTTGTGTTACGATGTTGTGATTTTATGTTCCATGTTCATCCGGGTTGGATGCCAAGTTAATGTTGTGGATTTATATTCTATTCAATTCCCAGCCAGCTGCGAATTTATATTTTTGATACTTTAGGATGTTTACTTCCCTCCATGGTAGGGGTGGTAAATATCTTATTTAATCAGATATTATTTCGGCTGCTATATATTTTTTATGAACACACGTCCTACTAACTGTGTGTTAGAACAATAAATGAAAGAGTGATTCGAGCTCTAATCATTGTCAAACAGTTAATTCTGCACATACATGGAATAAATTCACCACAACTTCTGTTCAAAATATAAGAGTTTATTAACAAAAATCATTCAAACATATTTCAGTTTAACACTCTCAACTAAGTCTAGTAAAACTCAACGAAACTAAGGCCCCGTCCACACGAAGCCAAACCCTGGCCTAAACGCACAAATTTTTCACCAAACCAGCCTCTCATCCATACGAAGCCGGCGTTACGGGGGTCTGTAAACAATATTTTTTTTATCAGGCCTTCAGAGGGGGAAGATTTTGAAACGCCGTTTTCGCGTTTCAATCTTTAAGCTCTAACCGCATTTTTGTTTTTACACGCATGCGTCATAGCGTCGCCTCTAAACACGCATGCGCAACACAGTATCACAACAAACTACTCACCCTGCTGTCGGGCTTACAACAGAATCTTCTTCTTCTGGAATATCTCCAGGAAGAACAGAGCAATATCAACAACATAGTTCAGCACCTGAATTTGACTGAACCACGAAAATGGACCCGCAGGGCAACCATGTATAAATATTAGTGCGCATGCCTAACATTTCGTCGCCTATTTTTGCTTTGGCACCACAGCGCCACTTACAGGCCTGGCATACATTTTGCAGCGTTTTCATGCATTCGTGTGGACGATCACATTTATTTTACGTCTCCGTCTTTACGACAAACGTTCTGGAAAATATTAGCGTTTCGTGTTCGTTTTGACTTCGTGTGGACGGGGCCTAAGCTAACTACTATGTACAAAGAGGAAGGGAAACATGGTTGAAAACCATATTAGAGTTTAAGATGGATTTTGTGTTTGAAACCAAAGTTTATCTGGAATAATTTGGGATATGATCAAATTAGCTTTTCACTAATTTTAAAGAAATTGGAATGTTTTCAGACCAATTCACAATGCAAATCCATGAGGTGAATAAAACATTATTTGGCCAAATAATGTTTTATTGAGTGATTTGCTTAATCAAGAACCAACAACCTTTAGTTAAATGATTCTTTACCCTCTTTGAAATAGCTAGCAGTGAATAGACATCAGGATTCCAGTAAATGACTCTTGGTCATACTTGCTAATGGAAATGTAATGAGTATCTGAGGCAGGGGTGCTCAAGTTCAGTCCTCAAGAGCTACTATCCTGCAACTATTTGATGTAACCGTTTTTAACACACCTGAATCAAATGAGTGGCTCGTTACCACGCCTCTGCTGAGCTAAAGGAGGGGATTAAGGCTTTAGATTCAGGTGTGATAGAGAAGTGATTCATGTAAAAGTTACAGGATGCTAGCTCTTGAGGACTGGACTTGAGCACCCCTGATCTGAGGAACACATGAACACTAATGTTATATGAGTGTTAAACCCTTAGTGAATAAAGCTTGTCCAAGCTTCAGCAACAGCTATGAACATGTTACTATAACATAGCATTGCATGCAGTCCATTCTGTTACCTTTGTCTTTACTCATCAGTAAACACATGAAATGCTTTACATCATCAAAAGACATATTGTTTGTTTTGTCCCTAATCGTGCCAAATGTCCATTTGGAAGGTTGAGTTTCCATCCAGCTCGAGTTTAGCAGGCAGGCTAAATAGCAAGGCAGGCTCTCTCTGTCTCAGTGTCTCACAGCAGGGGTCCGCTTTGTCTCAGTGGCTGACATCAAGGCAGGCTTTCTTGTCGGGTCTGACTTATCCTTGATGATTCTTGAGATCTGGGGCCCCTTGGGCCCAGATCCAACAGTGGTGGAGAACCAGTGGACCTGCACCCCAGCCAGCCCCATGGGAAAAGAGAGTGTTCTGTGGGTTTGTCTGTCCTCATACAGGGGGGCGGTCTGTGGCCCCGTCCACACGAAGTCAAACCCTGGCCTAAACGCACAAATTTTTCACCAAACCAGCCTCTCATCCACACGAAGCCGGCGTTTCGGGGGTCTGTAAACAATCTTTTTTTTATTCAGCCTTCAGAGTGGGAAGATTTCGAAACGCCGTTTTCGCGTTTCCATCTTTACGCTCTAACCGCATTTTTTTTTTTTTACACGCATGCGTCATAGCGTCGCCTCTAAACACGCATGCGCGACACAGTATCACAACAACGGCGCCGTTGCTGCTAATGCTACTCACCCTGCTGTCGGGCTTACAACAGAATCTTCTTCTTCTGGAATATCTCCCGGAAGAACAGAGCAATATCGACGACATAGTTCAGCACCTGAATTTGACTGAACTACGAAAATGGACCCGCAGGGCAACCATGTATAAATATTAGTGCGCATGCCCAACATTTCGTCGCCTATTTTTGCTTTGGCACCACAGCGCCACTTACAGGCCTGGCATACATTTTGAAGCGTTTTCATGCATTCGTGTGGACGATCACATTTATTTTACGTCTCCGTCTTTACAACAAACGTTCTGGAAAATATTAGCGTTTCGTGTTCGTTTTGACTTCGTGTGGACGGGGCCTAAGACTTGCCATATAACTGAAACGGGGGGGTTGGGGGGGGGGGGGGGGGTTGGGGGGGTGTTTGTTGGGGTTGCAGAGATCTTAGAGCTGCTTGTGAGCCAAACTTTTATCCTCTTCTCTGGTCATCATGTCAAGATTAAATATGGACACTGGTTCCCAATGTCCAAGAACCATGATCATGGCATATGGCGCAACAACAATGTTAACTGATAGATCAACTTCTTACGAAATTCGGTTGAAAGGGAACACACAAACATCTTTTCAATCTACAAAGGCAAAAATCCTTTCGCACATTTTTCTAAAAGAAATAGAGGATATTCAAGCTAAAACAGTCGCAGAAATATTTGTTTAGCTTTAGCCTTGTGCCTCTGGTTGACATGTTGTCGTTATACACGTCTCTGCATTTCAAATAGTTCAAATGGAACAATTGGCTTTTTCATTACTCTATGGACTTAAGGTGTATAATGTGCTTATTAGCCATATTGTAAGGGGTACATTTAGTCTTTTTTCCATACTTTTAAATATTTCTCTACTAATTGTCTAAGGAGTTTGAGTCAGAAGGTTTACAATCTAGCTCTGTACTGAGGTCAGCGAAGACAGATTGCTAGAAAAAGAGTTCGATTAGGCCAGAATGCGATGGAGCTCTGGCTTTCTAGAGTGTGCCTCCCTTTTCTTTTAGCCTTCTGTGATAAATGTTTGTGCATATCCTCGGTTCTCCAGCAGCCTCTGGGAGAAAGGCATTGTAAAACCTGGACAGTTCAGCTAAAAATTAAATGTAAAAAAATGTAAAAATAAACATTTCTTTAATGGTTAAGAATCTGCAGGTAATCCATTCATACAGATTTTAAAGCTTTGATGATAAAAGTGGAGGTCTTAATCTTGCCAAATGGTGGAGCATTAACCAGCATTTTATGAACAGTGATTGTGGCGTCAGAGCTGCAGTGAATGCTAGAAGATGCAGTTCTAGTCTGTTTGTATGTTGTTGGATCAACAACGGGATGATTAAAGTGAAGTGTCCTGTCTTAAAGTACAATAGAAAGTCTTTTTTCTGTGTTTGTCTTTCCAGACCGCCTGCAGGATTATGTTGGAAAAGAGGAGGATTTCTCTGACCAGCAGCTCTGTGAACAGGAGGGAAATTCCAGTTTGGGCCAAGAGGAACTAGAACCTCTGCAGATCAAAGAAGAGCAGCAAAAGCCAGAACATCCCTGGACAAAAGAGGAAATCATGGAGCTCCCCATTAGTGAGCATGAAGAGCAGCTTGTTCTCATGGAGGAGACTCCAGATACAGGGGAGAAACCTTTCCGATGTATTACATGTGGAGAAAACTTTTTAATAAAAGAAGATTTAATAGTTCATATTAGAACTCACACTGGTCAGAACATTTATGAATGTCTGTCATGTGGAAAAATCTTTCTTGAGAAATCTAATTTTGAGAGACACATCCAAATTCATACAAGTGAGAAGCCTTTCAAATGTCTTTTCTGTGAAAAAAGCTTTGCCTTAAAGTCTCATTTGACTAAACATGTGAGAATTCACACAGGTGAGAAGCCGTTCTCCTGTACAGTTTGTGGCAAAAGTTTTACTGAAAAAGGTAATTTGACTGAACACATGAGAATTCACACTGGTGAGAAGCCTTTCCGATGTCTATCCTGTGGAAGAAGCTTCACAACGAAATGTAATCTTAACAGACATATCAGAATTCACACTGGCGAGAAGCCTGTCAAATGTCTTTCCAGTGGAAAAAGCTTTACCTTAAACTCTCACTTCAGTGCACACATCGAAAATCACAAAGGTGAGAGGCCTTTCAATTGTATGTCCTGTGGAAAAAACTTTGCCTCGAAGTCTAATTTGAATGAACACATCAAAATTCACACAGGTGAGAGGCCTTTCTCCTGTACGATTTGTGGCAGAAGTTTTACTCTAAAAAGTAATTTGGCTAAACACATGAAAACTCACACAGGTGAGAAGCCTTTCAAATGTATGTGTTGTGGAAAAAGCTTCACTTTTAATTATGATCTTAACATACACATGAGAACTCACACTGGTGAGAAGCCTTTCAAATGTCTTTTCTGTGGAAAAACATTTGCCTTAAAGTCTCATTTGAATGAACACATCAAAATTCACACTGGGGAGAAGTCTTTCTCTTGTACGATTTGTGGCAAAAGTTTTACTCTAAAAAGTAATTTGGCTAAACACATGAAAACTCACACAGGTGAGAAGCCTTTCAAATGTATGTCCTGCGGAAAAAGTTTCACCTTTAAATATGATCTTAAGACACACATCAGAATTCACACAGGTGAAAAGCCATTCTCCTGTATTACTTGTGGAAAAAATTTTACTCAAAAAATTTGCTTGACTAAACACATGGCGACTCATGTAAGAAACATGTTTCATCTATGACACATTAAACCAATCTTAAAATTAGAGATTTATTCTTTCACATAAGAATTCACATCAGTTAACCCCACAGGAACGAACAGTAGAGGCCTTTTCCATGTTTGACCTGTGATGAAATAGCTGTGTTTCTGTCAGGTCTAACATCTAAAACACTGTAAAACAAGGAGACAAAGGCACAGAGTCAGAATTATTTTTACTCTCGAGGAGAGTAGGAAGAGACCGTGCAGGTACATCTCCAACCCACTCTGCCGGTCTTTAGCTTTATCCTCGCTATTTATTAAAGTCAGGGGGGGCCTAGTTACACAAGCTGAGGTTGCAAGAAAAGAAATACAATTCAATTTGCAGCCTCAGTGAACAGGTCAATTTGCATTTAAATATCTTGCATTCAAATGAACCTCCTGGTTTTGTTAAGCTTGAGCAATACTTCCTGAGAGTTGACCTATACTGCTTGTGCAACACCTCTCTGGAACAGTGATATGTCACACATTATACATCATAAGAACAAACCTTAAGTATCTTATACATAATTATTCCAACAGTTTCAATCCAACAAAAATGTGAACTTTAAGCAAACTTATCAAAGAAAAACAAAAAATGGCAATTTGAATCAGAGGTGTTTCTATTTGGTTTGAAGCAAATTATCCAACTACAGCCAAGAGCAATGTGAACATAGGGGCTGCAATATACCAATGACTGCAGATCAATAATGGAAGAAAGTTTGAATGAATGATGAGGATATGACTAAAAAATCAAATCCTTTTTGTTTTGGTCATCTTGGACAATTATGATTTTAAATGAAGTACCGTAAATCCTCTAAAATTGGCCTGTATTCCATTAGCAGCTGGGTCCCTAATAATGGTCTGTCTCACTGTCGCCAGAGGTAAATACTGGCCGGACTCTTACAGGTGCTGGTCATAAAATTAGAATATCATGAAAAAGTAGATTGATTTCAGTAATTCCATTTAAAAAGTGAAACTTGTATATTATATTCATACATTACATACAAACTCATATATTTCAGATGTTTATTTTGTTTAATTTTGATGATTACAAATGACAACAAATGAAAATCTCAAATTCATCATATCAGAAAATTAGAATATTACTGAAGACCAATAAAAACAAAGGATTTATAGAAATGTTGGCCAACTGAAAAGTATGAACATGAAAAGTATGAGCATGTACAGCACTCAGTATTTAGTTGGGCCTCCTTTGGCCTGTATTACTGCAGCAATGCGGCGTGGCATGGAGTCGATCAGTCTGTGGCACTGCTCAGGTGTTATGATAGCCCAGGTTGCTCTAATAGTGGCTTTTAGCTCTTCTGAATTGTTGGGTCTGGTGTATTGCATCTTCTTCTTCACAATACCCCATAGATTTTCTATGGGGTTAAGGTCAGGAGAGTTTGCTGGCCAATTAAGAACAGGGATACCATGGTCCTTCAACCAGGTACTGGTAGCTTTGGCACTGTGTGCAGGTGCCAAGTCCTGTTGGAAAATGAAATCTGCATCTCCAAAAAGTTGGTCAGCTGCAGGAAGCATGAAGTGCTCTAAAACTTCCTGGTATGTGGCTGGACCTCAGAAAACACAATGGACCAACACCAGCAGATGACATGGCACCCCAAACCATCACTGACTGTGGAAACTTTACACTGGACTTCAAGCAACGTGGATGAAGTGCCTCTCTTCTTTTCCTCCAGACTCTGGGACCTTGATTTCCAAAGGAAATGCAAAATTTACTTTCATCAGAGAACATGACTTTGGACCACTCACCAGCAGTCCAGTCCTGTTTCTCTTTAGCCCAGGCAAGACGCTTCTGACGCTGTCTGTGGTTCAAGAGTGGCTTGACACAAGGAATGCGACAGCAGAAACCCATGTCTTTCATACGTCTGTGTGTGGTGGTTCTTGAAGCACTCACTCCAGCTGCAGTCCACTCTTTGTGAATCTCCCCCACATTTTTGAATGGGTTTTGTTTCACAATCCTCTCCAGGGTGCGGTTATCTCTCTTGCTTGTACACTTTTTTCGACCACATCTTTTCCTTCCCTTCGCCTCTCTATTAATGTGCTTGGACACTGAGCTTTGTGAACAGCCAGCCTCTTTAGCGATGACCTTTTGTGTCTTGCCCTCCTTGTGCAAGGTGTCGATGGTCGTCTTTTGGACAACTGTCAAGTCAGCAATCTTCCCCATGATTGTGTAGCCTATAGAACTAGACTGAAAGACCATTTAAAGGCTTTTGCAGGTGGTTTGAGTTAATTAGCTGATTAGAGTGTGGCACCAGGGGCCATCAATTTTGAACCTTTTCACAATATTCTAATTTTCTGATATGATGAATTTGAGATTTTCATTTGTTGTCATTTGTAATCATCATAATTAAACAAAATAAACATCTGAAATATATGAGTTTGTATGTAATGTATGAATATAATATACAAGTTTCACTTTTTAAATGGAATTACTGAAATCAATTTACTTTTTCATGATATTCTAATTTTATGACCAGCACCTGTAATACAGGCCGGGGCTATAATTAGAACCAGTGCTGTTCCTGGGCATTCCTGAACAACTTGTGATAGTAACATACAAGTACCACAGGGGGGCAATGTTTGCTAAAGAATCCAAGCCATTAGCATGTGAAGTCCCATCCTTAGCACAGACAGTGCCGCAGACAGGAGTTCGGCCTGTTTTATTTTTATGATATGAAATTGCAGAAAACAACTCGTTAAGGTGGAACAGCTAGAAGAGCGAGGTGTGTGAGAACGCTGGGACCCTTTTTCCCTTTTGGCTTACACATGAAAACTCACACTGGTGAGAAGCCTTTCAAATGTCTTTTCTGTGGAAAAAGATTTGCCTTAAAGTCTCATTTGAATGAACACATCAAAATTCACACAGGTGAGAAGTCTTTCTCTTGTATGATTTGTGGCAAAAGTTTTTGATGTAAATGTTTCTTTGTATTGTCATTAAAACAGTTTGTTTCCTTTAAATATTTAAGATGGCATAATCATTAAATGTACGATTGCCAGGGGATTAAAAGGAAATGATGTAGATTCTCTCTGTATTTTTCTTTTTTCATATCAAAACCCTGTGAATTAAAATCTACTTTGGTCCCTGAGCAGCAGTGACCAGGGGGCAAATTGAAGAAATAAAGCCAAATTTGCCAAAGTAGAAATAAAAATGTTCTTTCACTTTTTTGGAGCAATGAAGATTTTATTTATGTGTCTAATGCATAATTCATACTAGATGGAAACCTTGTTTGTCTAAACCACAGGTGTCAAAGTCGTTCCAGAAAGGGCCGTGTGGCTGCTGGTTTTCTTTCCACCCAAGCAGTAGCACACCAGACTCCATTCATCTCATCAAGGTGAATCTAGTCTTAACCTGATGACTTGATGGGATGAATGGAGTCTGGTGTGCTACTGCTTGGGTGGAAAGAAAACCAGCAGCCACACGGCCCTTTCTGGAACGACTTTGACACCCCTGTAAACCATTCCTTTAGTGTACCTTAAGTTAGCTTGTCTGACTGCTATATTAACCAATATGATGTGTTGAACTAGATCTGCTATTTTCAAAACTTTTGTGAGACACTTTTGTATGAAGTAAAGCATTAATTCACAAAAAAAGCTTATTTGAAGTCTATAAATCAGTTTTCTGCCCAATAGCAATGATGAACTGCATGGCAGCATTCTATACCCAGCTATGGTAGTATCTAGGCTACAGCTGTCAGTCTGGTAAAAAAAAAAAAAAAGAAATTAGGTTTTTAGTTGAAACTGTAAAGGTTCACTTTTTTTGTAACATAAAACCAACTAAAACTATCACATATCGTAATGACTAAAATGCCACTAAAATTAATACCGGTAGTTTTCGTCCTGAAGTCTTAGATGGCTTTCAAAAACAACACTAATGATGAAATGGACAAACCCGAGTTTGGAATCCGAGAACCAGTCAAAGCCCAGTGATCTGAGATCCAAAGACAACCCTTAGGGGAGAATCAGAGATCCATAATAATCTGGCACTAGTGACTGGTCTAGAGCTGGTTATATAGTCAGATGAGCAGGTGAATCTGATGGATTGAATTCTGAAATGTTTATTGTATTTTCTGTGGTGGATGTTTCCCATTAATGTAATTTATTTTCTAGATTGATGTACTGAGCAGAAATAAAAAAAGATGGATTCCAAAATCTCATTTGGTTTCTTATAAGTTACTTTTTCTATCTATACTCTGATATTTTCAGACAACCTAAATCTGTAATATAAATTGTTTAATTGTACTAAAATGTTCGGATGATGATTATGGAACTTTGCTGCAAGTTATTCTTTGTGTTCATTGTTTGTTAAATTATTTAATTTTTAGCTTAAGCAGATGAGTTTCTATATGTTAATTCTTGGAAACAAAGTCGAAGCTGGTAGATGAGGCTTTAATAAAAATCTGAACCAGTAAAATTCATGTTGATCCATCACCGGTTATGCTGCGTTCCTTTGGTATTTGGAGCTTCTAAAATACAAGCCAGGAACTCCCCTGATCTAAAATCTCTAGAACTGGAATCTCAGAGGTTCCTGACCAACCATTTATCTTTCACATAAATTCTAAAAATGTCCAAATTATATAAATGATGCTCTAAGTTAGGGGTCTGCAACCTTTCATATTCAAAGAGCCGTTTTGACCAGAGTTCAACCACGTAAAAGTTGTGTAGAGCCGCAAAATATAACATGACTTTTACTAGAAAACCTTTTTTTCTTTTAATCTTATATAGGAAATTAGTTGTTGCCATCTCAAACAATCAAAAATTCATTTATTTTTAATGTTAAAAAATATAATTTACAAGCTAATTAGGGATGCACGATATTGGGATTTTGGCCGATATCCGATATGCCGATATTTTAAAACTCATGTAGCCAATAACCGATATCGATACCGATGTTAAAGCTGGACAGAAATAAGTAGTCATTGAAAATAGCAGTTTTGTTATCCATTTCTGACACTTTGAAAAATAATATACTCAAATATATTTTCATATGCTGATATCAAATTAATTTTTATTTAATTATTTTTATTTATTTTTTTTATTTATTATTAAAAAAATAAATAAATAAAAAAAGTAAAAAAAATAAAAATAAATAAATAAAAAGTATATATATATAAAAAATAAATTAATAAAAAAAAAAAATAAAATTAATTTTTAAAAACACGGTATCGATCTATTTTACTTTCAAAATCTGGTGAAATTTCATCGTTCTGTTACAAACTCGTGATATTTTGCAAATTCTTGTGAGATTTTGTTAGTAAAATAGGTCGATACCGCGTCAATATATCAACATATAAAAATATGGCAACATTTGGTGAATTTTTGGGGGATTTCGTAGCATAACGATGACATATAGCAACATTTCATTAGTAAAAGAGATTGATATGGTGTTTTTAAATGGCAATATATCAGCATATGAAGATATTGGGATATTTTAATCGATCAATATTTTTTCCTCGTCTTTACACTGGAAAAATGATCTAGAAATAAGTAAAACTTTCTTACATTAAGTGTATTTACCCTTGATTTGAGTAGGTAAATGAGATAGTTTGCCAATGGAATGATTATTTTTACTCTTAAAATAAGGTAATTAGATAATATTCACTTTAAATAAGAGAATGCAAATGTGTTTTCTTATTTTAAATCTAAATTGTCTTGTTTCATTGGCAAAATGTCTCTCCTCAATTCAAGAACAAATGCACTTATTTTAAGAAAAAAATGACTTATCAAGATTTAGTTTTTTGCAGTGTAGTAGTTATTAAGTCTGTAAAAAAGACGTTTTTGAGGAAGAAGAAGTAGCATTTTATTATAATTTTTTTTTTAGACTTTAGAAACTTTAGAAAGCTGATCGAATATCAGGTTAAATATCGGTGGGGTGGCCGATGTCCGATAATCAGTTTTAAGGCAGATACCGATAGGGGGCCGGTTATATCCTGCATCCCTACTTAAAACATATTTCTGGTTCTTTTAATCTCATTCTTTTCCATCTTATAAAAAACACTAAAGCTATTGATACCGGTATATATTAAAGTAAATTATTTAGCTCTTTATATACATTTTAGCCACTATTAAGAGCCGCTGGAGAGGGTCCAAAGAGCCATATGTGGCTCTGGAGCCGCAGGTTGCAGACCCCTGGGGCCTGTTTCAGAAAGGAGGTTAAGTGAAAACTCTGAGTTTGTTAACCCTGAAATGAGGGAAACTCTGGGTTTTCTGTTTCAGAAAGGGAGGTAAGTTAAACCTGAGAAAGCAGAGTAAGTCAAGCCTGTTTCTGAAAGAGGGGTTACTTATACTCAGTGTCAGTTACCATGGCAATTTACTCTGTGAACCTAACCTGGTCGGGAGCAGGTTTTCTTCAGAAAATCCGGAGTTTATTTTGGTCTCCTCCCCTTTTTTAAAGAGGAAGTGGTGTTTAAACACCTCATTGATTCTTTGGGGACATACAGTATTCATTGCACACATTTCAGTCACGTAGAGCGCATCAAAGGGAATAAAATGGCATGTCCTTTTATGGATGATCCTGTTTGTAAAGCCAGGTAGCTACTCTACTCCCATGATGTGCTCAAGGCTTACCTGCTTGAAGTATGTTTTTATATTTCATTTTCAGCTGCTGCCATGTTCTTTTGATGCCTGCAGGATTGCACCTATCCATGAAAACTAAATTAGGTTTAATAAAATACTGTTCTTCCAGTTTCACCTCTGATATTATAACAGTTGGGTAAGTTACTCTAAAACAGTTCTTAATTACTAACTACAAATTTTATCTTCAACAAGTCTAATTAGATTAATGTATTAATTACTGTCTCTAGAAAGTATTGGTCTAATTACTAATTTGTTTTACTTACTTATTAATTACTTTCTAAATCCCAAATCAACCTCAACCACTTGAACAATACAAGAAACTGCACCTCTAATGCTTTCAAATAAACAATATTCAATTGCATGAATTAATCTTAAATTGACCAAAGTGTGTAACTAGAGGGAGAAAGTTCAAATCAAAATATACCTTTTAAAATTTGATATTAAATCCACTATTGTTTTATAGTCTTTAATTTAATTACAGTATTTATATGACTTAGGTAACTTAATTCATTACACCCAACACTGTATAAAAGTACCGTAATTAAAATCTAAACTTACGCATTGACTCGAGCAGCTATTTTCACCCAAGCTAACTCTCTCTCCTTCGCCGCTGCAGCCATGTTGCTTTTTAAAAAAAAATACATGTTCAAATTCTGCATATGCTTGCATAAGCACATCCAGTTCTGCTGGTGAGAAATATGCACACCTTTTTTTGTCTGACGCTGTTGCCATGGTGACTCGTAATATCTGTGCTCCATTGATAATGGCTTTTTATAGTTGTGGTGCACGCGCTTAACTCGGAGTCAGTCAATTTAGAGTTGATTGAACTAACTCATTTCAGCTGTTCTGAAACCCAAAACTCAGAGTTTCCAATCTCAGGATAAGTCAACTCAGAGTTCAAGTTTTAACTCAGAGTTGGTTGAACTTCCTTATTGAAACAGGCCCCTGGTCTAGAGCATTAGAGTAACTCAGACAAATCTGACTTACATACATGCATTGAAGTGTATATACAGGTGCTGGTTATAAAATTAGAATATCATGAAAAAGTAGATTGATTTCAGTAATTCCATTTAAAAAGTGAAACTTGTATATTATATTCATACATTACATACAAACTCATATATTTCAGATGTTTATTTTGTTTAATTTTGATGATTACAAATGACAACAAATGAAAATCTCAAATTCATCATATCAGAAAATTAGAATATTACTGAAGACCAATAAAAACAAAGGATTTATAGAAATGTTGGCCAACTGAAAAGTATGAACATGAAAAGTATGAGCATGTACAGCACTCAGTATTTAGTTGGGCCTCCTTTGGCCTGTATTACTGCAGCAATGCGGCGTGGCATGGAGTCGATCAGTCTGTGGCACTGCTCAGGTGTTATGATAGCCCAGGTTGCTCTAATAGTGGCTTTTAGCTCTTCTGAATTGTTGGGTCTGGTGTATTGCATCTTCTTCTTCACAATACCCCATAGATTTTCTATGGGGTTAAGGTCAGGAGAGTTTGCTGGCCAATTAAGAAAAGGGATACCATGGTCCTTCAACCAGGTACTGGTAGCTTTGGCACTGTGTGCAGGTGCCAAGTCCTGTTGGAAAATGAAATCTGCATCTCCAAAAAGTTGGTCAGCTGCAGGAAGCATGAAGTGCTCTAAAACTTCCTGGTATGTGGCTGCGTTGACCCTGGACCTCAGAAAACACAATGGACCAACACCAGCAGATGACATGGCACCCCAAACCATCACTGACTGTGGAAACTTTACACTGGACTTCAAGCAACGTGGATGAAGTGCCTCTCTTCTTTTCCTCCAGACTCTGGGACCTTGATTTCCAAAGGAAATGCAAAATTTACTTTCATCAGAGAACATGACTTTGGACCACTCACCAGCAGTCCAGTCCTGTTTCTCTTTAGCCCAGGCAAGACGCTTCTGACGCTGTCTGTGGTTCAAGAGTGGCTTGACACAAGGAATGCGACAGCAGAAACCCATGTCTTTCATACGTCTGTGTGTGGTGGTTCTTGAAGCACTCACTCCAGCTGCAGTCCACTCTTTGTGAATCTCCCCCACATTTTTGAATGGGTTTTGTTTCACAATCCTCTCCAGGGTGCGGTTATCTCTCTTGCTTGTACACTTTTTTCGACCACATCTTTTCCTTCCCTTCGCCTCTCTATTAATGTGCTTGGACACTGAGCTCTGTGAACAGCCAGCCTCTTTAGCGATGACCTTTTGTGTCTTGCCCTCCTTGTGCAAGGTGTCGATGGTCGTCTTTTGGACAACTGTCAAGTCAGCAGTCTTCCCCATGATTGTGTAGCCTATAGAACTAGACTGAAAGACCATTTAAAGGCTTTTGCAGGTGGTTTGAGTTAATTAGCTGATTAGAGTGTGGCACCAGGGGCCATCAATTTTGAACCTTTTCACAATATTCTAATTTTCTGATATGATGAATTTGAGATTTTCATTTGTTGTCATTTGTAATCATCAAAATCAAACAAAATAAACATCTGAAATATATGAGTTTGTATGTAATGTATGAATATAATATACAAGTTTCACTTTTTAAATGGAATTACTGAAATCAATCTACTTTTTCATGATATTCTAATTTTATGACCAGCACCTGTATGTAAAGGGTTTTACGAAAGGCCTCAGAAGAATTGTGGAGTGGTCTTGTTCAAAAGAATCTTCAAATGCCGCTGACATATAGGATCTTCACAGAATGGCATTTAACTTGTTTACAGTCGAGCACGGATAAAGGAAACATTACTGATGCCCACTAATGTAAATACCAGAGAACCTTATTGGAAGTGTGAAAGTCAAAGTGCTGCTGCCAACATTAGCACATGCTAAGAGTAGCAGGCCCATCAGCTGAACACTGGCATTGGTGTTAAGGATATTAGTAGCAGTCAGTAATGTCATGTGGCAGGCAGGTTTCCATTGGACCTCTGTGCTTGTATTTACCCCAGATGGGACTCGAACCCACAATCCCTGGCTTAGGAGGCCAGTGCCTTATCCATTAGGCCACTGGGGCAGGTACAGCAGATGTCCCATCAGGTGAAAAGCCGTACGTGTAATTCCTGTGCGAACAATGAGTCACCGTCTGAAAACTGGCTGCACAGTGAGTCGACAGTGCCTGCAGACCTTTTGGGGATTCTTGCTGCACTATGCAGCGCATAGCTCTCACAACCTGAAGGCTGTGACTTTGACCCACACACTTGGCATTTGTTTTAGCTTGACAGGAACATTCATTCGTGCTCTTACATGACCATGGTCAGCTTTTGGCTGGGGTAAGGCAAATAGCTCAATAGATAACAAGTGTGACGACCTCATCTGTCTTCTTCTTTTGTCTGAAATCTCTTTGTGCTTGCTCACAGTCCTCTGCTCAATCACCCAGTCACACACTTCATGCAGATGGAGCTTAACATCATTTCTTGATGGTTTAAATTGTAAAACAGAAGAAAAAAGATGCAGTGCAAAGAGTCTGTCATTGGTAAAGGACACAAGTCTCAGAAAATTCCCTGGAGAACTTTGACTGAAATGCAGGCCTTGGTAACTCCACAAAAGGAAAAGGGAACTCCTGCAATTGAGTTTTGCTGTTTGAGAACTTTTCACTCTTCATCTGAAAGGCCTTCTCAGCTAGTAAGGGGATTAGCATCACAATGTTAATTTGTTCGGGAATGGCCATGCTGCACAGCTCAAGTCACATGCAAATTGAAGTCCCTTAACAATCAGGTGTGGTAAGTGTTGTTTTTTGCCTGGTTCCATGACAAAATGCTTATTGCCTCTATATGTAAGGACTTTTGAATCAGTCTAAAGCTGATTGTGTTGTGTAGGGCCAGTTGTGTAGGGCAGGATGAAAAAGTGCACACATTCTTACCACAGGCAATGTGAAAGAATAGCTTAAGATTTAGCACAACCAGTTTTTGAGTAGGCCAAAGGAGAGGACAGGATCTTGTTGCAAAATGCATTCTCTAGCAGAGGGTGGTTTCGGTCCACCGACCTCTGGGTTATGGGCCCAGCACGCTTCCGCTGCGCCACTCTGCTTGACTGTGTCTCAGTTTTCAATAAGGGAGCCCAATACTTTAGTTTTGGCTTGGTTTTGTTATGCCATAAGCCATGATATCAATTCATTGTGATTTTAATTTTGAACATTTGTGGAGAAAGACGCAGTTTAGCTTGGCTGCACCAATCCCCAAGAGCTGCAAACCCCCTCTCCAAAACCCGCCACCAGACACTCCCACAGGAACATTCGATCCTAGCCCTACTGTGCTTGGCAAAAAAGATTAACTGCTACATGCTTTTCCTATTGTCTACATCAATGGAATTCCAGAGGCTATAGAGCCGGGCTATTCAATTGGCGGCCCCAGGGCCGGGTCCGGCCCCTTTGGGTTTTTGTACCGGCCCCTAGAGTGTACTGTGATTATTACATACTGATAGTCTTACACATAGTGCATGAATATCACTAACTGCACGTTCTCTCGTCCAGTAGGGGGCGGGATGCGCACGTTTAAGTCATGGTGGAAAAACAGGAATACAAAAACAAATACCTGTTTTCCTCGGACATATATTTTGGGAGACCGCACATGACCAAACAAAAATCACCATTCACGGCGTGCTCTAATTCAATTCTCTGACTTTTATCTGTCAAGCGTGAAGGATTGGCTAACAAGACAAAATGTCTCTCTCTAGCTTAAAAAAAAGAAAAGTTGACTCGGAGAACAGGCAGTTCAACAATGAATGGACAGAGAAATACGCGTTTATTTCAGTTGATGCGAATCCTGTGTGCTTAATCTGCAACGAGTGCCTCGCCGTGTGTAAAGAGTATAATTTAAGAAGGCATCACAACACAACGCATGCTAACTTCAACGCTACTTTCCCACCGGGCTCAGCCGCTCGGAGGCAGAAGATTTCAGGGCTTACATTTTGTTATGAGCAAAGACGTCGCATATTGTTTCGGGCCTGTACGGATCAAGAGAGAGCAACGGCGGCATCGTTACGAGTGGCATGGATATTGGGAAAAAAGAAAAAGCCGTTTACAGACTCGGAGATAGTCAAGGAATGTATGCTGGCATCCATTAATGAGGTGGTAACAGATGAAAAAACCCGAAAAAGCGTTATTGATTCGATCAAGCAAATTCCAATATCTGACACGTCAAATATGAGGAGAGTCGAGTCCCTTGCCTCGGATGTTTTCGAGACACTTTTGGACAAGCTGAGGAAGGCTCAGGTGATGTCTTTGGCCGTGGATGAGTCGACAGATAACGGTGATGTTGCGCAGCTGTGTCTCTATGTGCGATTTTTTTGATGGAGAATGTTTTCGCGAGGATCTGCTTGGACTAATTCCTCTGGAAGGGCACACCACTGGTTAGATTTTATTCACCAAAATTGCTTCATCCTTTGAGGAGAACAACTTGGATTTGGCGCGCGTCAACATGCTGGTGACGGATGGCGCGCCCTCGATGGTGGGCAGGGATCAGGGGCTTGCCGCGAGGATGGCAGCCGTGGCTCCACATATGAGATCGCTACATTGCCTCATCCACCAAAGCCTTCTGTGTGCCAAACTCAGCGCTAAGTTAAAAGAGACCATGGACTCTGTCATGGCAATTATAAACTTTATCCGTTGCACCTCCAGTTTACAGCACCGCCTTTTCCGCCAGCTGTTAACTGACATGTCTGCTGAATACAAAGATTTGCTCATTCACAATGACATTAGATGGCTTAGCAAAGGAAATGCATTGAAACGTTTTTGTGAACTAAAAGAGGAGATTCTGGTGTTTCTCCAGTCTTCAAAAAATGAAAAAAGCTGGCAAGTTTCTGTCTCTGATGGGAAATGATGATTTTAATGCCACTGTTTGCTTTTTGAGTGACGTTTTCCATCATTTGAATCAACTCAACATGGAGTTGCAGGGCAGGGATAAAACAGTCTCAGAACTTGTGGAGAAACTTCATGCTTTTCTAAGAAAGCTCTCACTCTTCTCTGCTGATCTTTGTCCTGGGAAGATGCTCCACTTCCCCACATTAAGGAAATCTGGTCTGCAAATTACTGAGGTGATGTCAGGCTTTATTGACTCACTGAAAAACAACTTTTCCACCAGGTTCGATGATTTCAGCATCTCCAGCGAAGTGGTGAGATATGTTAAGGACCCTTTCTGTGTGAATGTTGAGACAGACTTTGCATTGAAAGGAAAGGAGCTAGTACCATCATTGGATGAAGCTTTTTTACAACTGGAACTCATTGACATTCAGTCGTCAGATGACTTGCGACAGTCATTGCAGCAGGCAGGTTTTGAAAAATTCTGGACTCATGTAGTCAGCCAAGAAAAATTTCCACACTCAAGGGGTCTTGCACTTTTTCTTATGACAATGTTTGGCTCAACATACACTTGTGAGTCGTCATTCTCACACATGAATGCCATTAAAACTCACAATCGCATATCCCTCACTGACCAGCATCTGCAACACTGCTTACGCATTGCCCTGACAACATATACACCTGACTTCACTGCTCTTGCTAAGTCAAAAAAATGCCATTTCTCTCATTAGATGCAAATGTTGGCAAACTACATGCAAAGTGACAGTCATGTTAGTCAAACAAGTAATGAGGATTGATTTTTGAACAGTATGATGCAGTTAACATGTTATTCACCTCATAATATGCACTTAATGTTTTTTTTTATATGGTATGGCACAACTGAACTGAATATTGAGGTGTCTGATGCAATTTCAATATAGGCAGATAAAGGAAAAAAAATATAAAGAGAGGTCAACTAAGGGACTGTTACAGTGATTTTTTTTCTCATGTTAGCAGGGCTAAAATGGCTGAGGTGATTATTGTTGAAAGCAGTTTGAAATGTGCCTTGATAAAGTTCACTGTTATGTTGTTGTAATTAGAAGCATACTATGCAGTTTTGTTTTTTATATTTGTTGGTGCACTTGGAATTGAAGTTGTTTGTCAGTTAAATAAATGAAAATGTAAACAACTGACAGTAGTGATTTATGTGTATATGTTGTTCTGCATTTACAAAACAGAATATATTGACTTCAGTATGTTGTAATTTCTTTTTTTGTTGCCGTGATTACTCATATTCTCTGGCCCCTTATTTTGCCTCAGATTCATGAACTGGCCCCAATTCCAAATTAATTGAATAGCCCTGCTATAGAGGATGGGCAAGAAAGTAATTTAGACATGGGCAGGATGAAAAAGTGCACACATTCTTACTGCAGGAAATGTGAAAGAATAGCTTCAGTTTTTGCACAACCGGTTTTTGAGCAGGCTAAAAGAGAGGACAGGGTCTTGTTGCAAAATGCATCCTCTAGCAGTGGGTGGTTTTGGTCCACCGACCTCTGGGTTATGGGCCCAGCACGCTTCCGCTGCGCCACTCTGCTTGCTTGTGTCTTAGGTTTCAATAAGGGAGCCCAATCCATTAGTTTTGGCTTGGTTTTGTTATGCCATAAGCCATGATATCAATTTTGGCCACTTCTGAAAGATGTCCGTTGTGATTTTAAATTTGAACATCTGTGGAGAAAGAGTTTAGCTCGGCTGCACCAATCCCTAAGAGCTGCAAACCCCCTCTCCAACCCTCCACCAGACACTCCCACAGGAACATTCGATCTCCCTCCTACTGTGCTTGGCAAAAAAGAGTAACTGCTACATGCTTTCCTATTGTCTACATCGATGGAATTCCAAAGGCTATAGAGGATGGGCAAGCAAGTCAATTCAGACATGTTTCTTTTGGGGAAAACAAAAGCAACATGTCTAAATTGGCTAGCTTCCTTAACCCCTGTTAAGGACAACTACTCATCCAGCGCGCTGAAGAACCAGATTGCAGCAAAGTTTCTGCAAAGGCTGTAACAGTCTCTCTGAGTCTAGAGCATTAGAGTGACTCAGACAAATCTGACTTACATACATGCATTGAAGTGTATATATGTAAAGGCTTTTAAAAAAGGCCTCAGAAGAATGGTGGAGCGGTCTTATTCAAAAGAATCTTCAAATGCCGCTGAGATATAGGATCTTCACAGAAGGGCATTTAA